GATCGGCCTAAATTAATTTTGTACTTCCTTTAGTTTCCATAGCAATGTGGTTCATACCTCTGTGGTTCGTACCAGCAATAGCAATTCTTTTCATGTTATGTTTGCCAAGCAATTTGCAAATATTCTCTGTTATTGTTTTTCTAGTTGTGTCTCCTGGAAAAAAATACCAGCAATTGCAAAAAAAAAAAAAAAAAAAAGAGTCTATATGGACACTTTAGAGTTCAATGGCTCAATGTACATCTAGCTAATCACTGAATGAATATGAAGAATTCAAACTATATCCTCTTTATTCCCCCAAACATCAGTCAATTTAAGTAAAAAAAAATAATTTACAATGATTTGGATATAGTTTGAGTGCATCTCCCAAAGTTTCACGAGCTGAAAGGTTGGTTCACAGAGTGCTAGAGTGGAGGAGAAACCATTAAGAGGTGATGGAGCATAGTAATTAGGTCATGGCAACACTGCCCCCAGAAGGAATTAATGCTGGCTCTTCTGCACAGCTATGCCATCTGCCATACTGTGAAATAGCAAGCAGGCCCTTACCAAAGCAAGAGATAGTGGGACCATATTTTAAACCTCCAAAACTGAGGGCAAGATCAATGTCTTTTCTTTTTCTCTTCAGGTACTTTGTTATAACAGCAGAAAGTGAATTGTTGTATCTCGTAGGAGAAGGTCCTTGTGCTGGGCATTGGCTTCTAGACATGCACAGAGAACAGAGAACTGTGGCAGTTCTCAGGTTTTGAAATCTGGATTACACTGTAATATGCTCTACAGGGACCTAGATGCACAGAGGAGGAACACTTAATCCAGGCCCAGGTAGGGTATTCTGGGGTGTTGTGTGTGTGTGTGTGTGTGTGTGTGTGTGTGTGTGTGTGTGTGTATACAAGTCATGGGAAAGAAAACAGCACAGGTCAAACGTCAGGAAGCAAGGGATAGTGGTTTTTCAGGGGTGGAGAGACCTAGGTGGAGATCATGTTGCTCTGTGCTGTCTGTTAACATTCTTCAGAGTTGACCAAACCTTGGACTGGAGTGGCTCTGATGACAGTGGAAATGACACCGGAGTTTAAGTTTTTCCGGTGACTGTCATTCCTCCTTGCACATGTGTTCCCTCATTTAATCCCTGGGCAGTCCTTCCCTTCACAGTTACCTTATCTGTTGAAGGGGAATAATAGGAGCACCTCAGAGGGTTCTGGAGAGGTAAAAATGAGTTCATTCACTGCTCCCTGAGAACAGTGACTAGCCCAGAAAGAGCTCGTGGCAAGCATTAACCGTGAGGACTCTGTCGAAGAAGGTGGCAAACACTTGCATAATAGTTGGGAAACCGAGATGAACCACTCTACCCGACTTACCCAAGAAACACAGGAAGTGGTACTGGTGAGCCAGGGCTGCGCGTGCCCAAATAGCCAAGCCAGCCTCTGGGTCTCAAATCTGCCTGCATTTTAGAGTGGCAGACTGTGGAGAAGACAGCCCTGATCTCTCCAGGGCATGCTCAGTCATAATAACTGTTAACTGCAGTTTACAATTACTTAGTGCTTTACCGTTGGCACAGCACTTCCATTTGTATTTTTGTCATGTGTGTCTTTTGGGTTTTGTTGGGGAGTTTTGAGTGGATGCCAAGAGAAGGTTCAATAAAATGCCTGAAGCTGTGGTCATCACCTCCAGGCTTCAGGCAGTAAATCTGGTCACATCCACTGGCATTAAAATCACCCAGTGTGGCCAACTAGACCCTGGAGTATCTGAGTGGCCTTTCTGTTCCTGCCAGGTCAGGTTTCAAGCCATGGGGTATATTACGCTGTCAGTACTGTGTGACATCCACATCACGGGTAGAAGTTCAGTCTGAATCATGTTTGCTCAACTCACCATATTGTCTCAGGCAGTGGATTAAGAAATGATAATTCTATTTTTATTCCCATTGCCTTTTTAAAGATCACGATGAGGATTCTTGAAGGAGTTAAGTAGTCAAAAACAATGAAATAAAATAGAACAAGTCTAATTTTTAATTATAGTAGGGAAGTGTCTGTTCTTAATGCTTGATGGTCTGTCAAGGAACTGTTTTTGTGCAAACCTTGCAGCTTGCTAAGGGATGATAGGCGAATGTGAAAGCCTGGGGGAGGGGGTTCAGGGAAGGGAAGGGAGAACAGCCCCTACCTGGTTTCCCTGGGGTCCAAAGTGACTGGCATGTGTTTGGAAACCTGGAGGCCTGAGGTTACACAGTGAAAATTTTAGGTATGTGGAGATGAACAAAGCCCCTGAAATAAAGGGCACATGAGGTTTAAAGGCAATGAGGGAGGGCTGCAGAAGGGCCAGAAGCCATGGGGTCCTGGAGCCTGGGGGTTCTTCACAATGTGTCTTTGGGGGTTGATCTGCATCTACAAAGTGGTGATGTTGTAAGCTGTCTTGCCTGAAAGTCAACTCAAGTGAGGGGTGCTTGTCCCTCCCCAAGTCTTTGATAGGCAGACCTGACTTCCACCATTTGTGGGGATGATGAGGGAAGGGTGAGGAGGGACGCTGCATGAAGTGGAGGTTGGGGGCTGCCTATGGAACGTCTCCTCCTCATGGTAATCTTCCATGGCCGACACAGGCTGCGGCATCATGCTGATTAGGGGTTCCCTCTCAGGACTCCAGACTGCGGTGGGGGTGACCAGGAAGGGTGTGCCTGCGTAGGATCACCTGTAGCTGTGTAGCACACACATCAGAGGACCAACAGAGGTTTTTGGTATCATGTACACTTTTGCAGCAGGCAAACCACTCTCCCCAGTGACCAAGAGATCCTCTGTAACTGGGCTGCCAGGTTACTTGATTCAAGTGAAAGGCTTGATGAACCCTGTTCTCCAGAACATTTGGAAACAGTTAAACACCAAGCAGATTTCTGGATTTGTTAGGTGGGAAGACCGGGGCCGGGGGGTGGGGGGATTTGCAGGGTATAATGAGAGCTCAGAAACAGGAAGCAAGCACCCCGTTCATGTAAGTTGCATTATTCGTGCATTAATAAATAAACAGACACTTGTTACCCTCTCCCAAAGAGAACTACATAAAGTTCCTTTGTCAGAATTTTTATTGTAATTTTAAAAAAACATCAATTAAATATAGTTGGGGTCTAAGGACCATAGTATAAATTAAGATTAAAAAGGCATACAAATAATCCTGTTTATTTAATGTGGGTGTATATATACACATATACATATTTATTTTGCCATAAAATTGATTTGTTTATTTGCAAGAACAGCCACTCATCCCCTCCCCAGTATTGCCAGGGCACACAGGATAGGATTAATCACCTGAGACCATCTGTTATGCAAAGACCTTCCAGCCTGCCCCAGCCCCACATGCTACATAGTCTCTTAGTATAATGTGAAATACAATGATTCAGTTGGCAGTTATTTAATCTGCAGTGCTAAAAAGTGTCCTGTGATACTCAGGACTTTTGGAAAAGTGCGTATATATCATGCCACCTTATTTCACTGTTTCAAATGACCGATCCTGATCTAAAATGTCATGTTTGTACTTTGATTTCCCTGGTTCTTTTTAAAGTCTCTCTTCCTAGAGTGGAAAGTTCATAAGGACAGGCACGGAGTGTTGTTACCATGTCCCTTGTCCAGAACAGGACCTGGCCCGGCCTGGATCAGCAGTATGTGCTAAGAGAACAGTGAGCATGAGATGCCACAAGAACCTCCAGAAGAAGCAGGAAAGAAAGCCCCATGACTGCAGGGAGCTAGCTCTATGTTTCAAGCTGTTGAGGTCTGGATCTTTCCCCAGCAGGTGTTGGTATGAAATATTTTTCCAAACAGCTCTCTGTGTCATTGGTGAGAGTCAGGGTTCCCATCAGGGGAAATAATCTGCTCATCTTGACACCTGCACTGACCTGCCAGTCCCTCATGGTGTCTCCACTGGATTTTCCAGTAAGCCCCAGGAACCACAGCACACATTCCATCCATCCATGCTCCTCGGGCATTTATTTCTTTATATGTCTGTCTCAAAAAGATCAAGGTGAGAGTCCTCATGATGATCAAAAACTGAGACGCTCCATCTTCCAGAAACCTGTATTCTCAGTGTCCCCTTTCATAATACAGAGCTGTGTGATCGCCAAGGACAGTAAATATCAGTCATGAGGTAATGGGCAAAAATGACCAGAACTCCCTAGTTCACCACCTACTCCAACCCTGCTACCACCTTTCTTTCCCAGCTCTGTGTTATGCATAGAAATTCATGCATAACAAGCTAGATGCCGAGATCTAAGTGCAGCCAGATCCCAGCACACTCTAGAAAATGTACACACTATAAAATGTAAGGCACTTGGCATTACAGTTCCGAATCCTGAATGGCTTTCTAAATAGGAGTTCAAACCTCGACCTGGGGATAATATTGTCCCAGGAAAGGCAGAACCAGGAGTCCGCCTCCTGCCTTATCCTACACCTGTATCCTGCTATTGATAGCTCTGTGGATTTTGTTGTTTTTATTGTGAAATAACAGAGAAGTACAGTGCAAAGAAATCCTAATTCTCTTCTCTCCCAGGTCCCAAACACCATACCTTGTCTCATTTTTCTGGTTTTCCTAGGGCTGCAGTATGGTTCTATCCCACTCCGGGGAACTGTTTACAAGAGGGAGTCTCTTTACATGAGGGACCCTGCACCTTCCCTTTGGGGCACAAACAAATGTTCAACTGAGAGTTCAGCGAAATGGATCTTGGGTAGATTTTCTGCAAGAATGTGTCAGTAATCCCACCTGTTCCTTCTGTCAGTTTGAATCCCTAGACCATTCTCTTACATCACAGTCCCTGGCCCAGGATATTCTGGCTGAAATATAACTTCTCTAGGAAAACATTTTATGTAAAGCAAGATCACTAAGTACTTCATGCTCCAAATAGAACAGCAAGCCACCTACCAGTCTGAGTCATGCATGATGAAAAGTTTTCCAGCGGCTCCTATTAAATATTCAAATAAACACCATAAATGCATCAGGAACATTTAACGGGTTTCTTAGATAGTGGTTATAGAGTCACTAAAGATCTCCAAGCTAAATTAAACTTCAGAACTTAAATGATTTATTTCAGGACTTTACTAATACTGAAAATAACAAAATGTGAGTGTGCACAAGCGTGCTTATGTATGCATGCATGTGTGTGTGTGTGTGTGTGTGTGTGTGTGTGTTTCCACAGGACTCCCATAGATATTCGTGTCACTGGTCGTCATCAGCAGCGATTTTTTCATGGCAGCACCACCCAGCAAGCAAAGGAGCCCCCAGATTGAAGGAGGAAGCTTATCAGGACAAACAGAATGTATGTATGATCACATGTCCATGTTCGTTTGCATGCCATACCAAGCTGTGTCAGGTCCAAGACATAGAAGTAGAAAAGCTTCTGGATGCACACCTTGTCCCCAGACCCAGCACAGCTTTCCTGGTTTCCAGGTCGTGCCTCCCTTACTTGACACTCTTTGCTCAACTCAGGCACTAAATCGTGGGGTTGGGGTGGGTCTGAGGGTGTCTTTCCTACCTGTCAATGCAGTCTGTCCTCACTCCTCCCTCCTGTGGCACCTGTCCTCACTGATTCCCAGAGTGACTTCTCATCTGCTCACCTGCAATGCTCCTGGCCCAGTGGCTCATCCTTTCAAGTGGGCTTCAGAAGAAAGACTGGGAGCTCCTACCCACCTGCCCCAGGGCACCAGGAATGTCACAGTTATGCTCCGGGGGGAAACTGTTACAGACTGGACATGACGGACCACTCGTGAATTCTACTCACTGACTCTTACTGACGGTAGGTGCCAGCCCCCATATAAAATGGTCCTAGAGCAGAAATGGAGTCGAATGCCCTGTGAAACAGTGGTAATCACTGGAGTATGTCCAGGAGCTCCTGCACATACTCAGGTGATACTCCACTACACTGCTGCAACGATGCTGGAGCGTGGCACTTTCCAAAACCATGGCATGGTCTACCTACAAAGAAAAAGTGGGGTCTAGGGGCTAACTCCCAAATGTGGCTATTTAATTCATTGCCCTTTACAGTGTGTGGTAGAAATAGGCTTTTATGTTGCTGTCAGTGCTTGGCAGTCTATGCAGAAGCCAGGTGGGGACCTCAGCTATGGTAAGATGATGGATCCTGAAAGGGACCCCAGGAATGGACCAAGAGCAGAAGTCTCTTTTCACAGTGAGTGAAGAGTTTGCTGAAGAAGGAAGAAAAGACGGAGCCACAGCGAGGCAATTCCAGTGACAAAGGGAAGGGCAGATCAGGGGATAGGAATGGGGTGATCTAGATATCTGGGTGTACACCCTGTGGGCTTGGGCTAGGGTCTTGCTGTGGACCAAGTGTTTGTGTCTCATCCCCAAATTCATAGACTAAAATCCTATCCCCAGGGTGGTGGCATTTGGGAGGTGATTAACAGAGACGTGATTAATGCAGTTCTTGTGGGATTTTGAAATTCTCCCAAGAGCAAGTTATTAAGAAAAGAACAAGTCTGGATCTTTCTGACTTCCTATCTCACCATGTGATCACTTCTATACCTGCATGTGTTCCCATGATTGTGAAACTATGCACCATGAAGTCTTCAAACTGGGAGTCCTGTGGAAACACACACACACACACACACACACACACACACACACATGCATGCATACATAAGCACGCTTGTGCACACTCACATTTTGTTATTTTCAGTATTAGTAAAGTCCTGAAATAAATCATTTAAGTTCTGAAGCTTAATTTAGCCAAACTGAAAGAGTTGACTGATCATAGACTGTTTGCCTCCCAAACTGTGAGCTAAATAAACCTCATTTCTTTATAAAGTACCCAGCCTCAGGTACTTTTATGTAGCAACAGAAAATGGACTAAGGCAGTTATCCAAGTCTAGGGTATTTTATTTGAGCAGCATGAGTTGACACTACAGATCTTGTAGAGTGTAACGTTCGGGATAAGGTTGAGAACTGTTCCTTTACAGTTTCACAAAAACATCAAAGCCCAAGTAGTGAGACTGTACTGATAAAGTAAGATATCTTCTCCCCAGCACACTAAGGGAAACTCAGGCAGGAGATGGCGAGGGCTCAAGAGCATATACCACATAAATGCAGGTGAGACTTGTCTTGAAAGATTCCCAGGACACTTTGGATGAGGCTTAGCAGGACTTAAAGGGGCACAGAGAAGGAGAGATGGGAGATTTAAGAATGAGTGAGCTGGCTGAACATCAGGAGATGATTTGTGTGTCATGTTTCTTTGTAATGGTTAAAAGAAAACTTTTTTTTCCTGATCCTATCTTTGAGAGGGATTTTGTGAACAGAGCACAGGTTTGGGGATTATCCAAATGTAGAGTTTTGAATCCAGTGCCATTTATTTAACTTGACTTAACCTCAGCTTCTTATCTTTAAATCAGGGCTAGTGACCACTACCTCTCCAAAGAATGATAAAGAATGAAGTATTCATTCATGTGCAGTGTCTAGTTCACTCCTTAGTACTGCATGTACTCAGCAAAACCTGCATGGAAAAATACGGATGCCTTATGACCACACACTGGCTCTCCTGTGTTACTCCTGTGTTACTGTGTTACTTAAAGTGTTTTATTTGTTTTACTAGGATTGATCTTGCTCATGATGAGTTGTTATTTCCTGACCTAAGATTCAGACCTGTGAGTATCTGAAAGTGAAATAACAGTGTCCTTGTAATGACAGAGATAAAGGACAAATGATCTGTCCCTAGAATACTAAGACTCTGGACTTCAACTGAGAACTTGTCTGATCATTGAAGCAAATCTGGGGAGATTTCAGAGAATGACCTTGTTTCTGCCAGGAACTCCCCAGCCCCCCTCCAATCAGAGGTGGGTGGCAAGTAACTCTCAGGTCACCTCAACCAGGATTTTTTTCTGTTTTCTTTTTTCTTTTTCTTTCTTTCTTTCTTTCTTTCTTTTTTTTTTTTTTGCATTCTACACTATTTTGAAACACTAGCTATGCAGTTATGCACCAAGTCTCTATTTAGGATTAGTTTTTGCATCCCACAGACACTTGTCGATGTTAAGGCTGTGCGGACACTGTAATGGTCACTGGGGATAATTGTGGAGTAAGCGTGATTTCTGTCCTTTAATTGTGGGGACATACAAGTACACCACAGTGAGATAATTATCCTGATAGGGAAAATTCCTGTGTGTTCCATCCAGCCTGAGGTTATAGGGGACTTCATGAAGGGGTGACAGCTGAGTTTAGAACTCAAAATATGAGTAGGAAATAGCCAGTTGGAAAAGGAGCTGAGGAAGTTCATGATTCAATAACTGGATACTCAGTATTTCCTAATTGCTCTGTGCTTGGTTTTGGAATGATGAATAAGACAGAACATTTTTCCTGGAAAGTAATGTGGGTGGGGATGACAGCCCAGGACAAAACTGGTCTTGGTGACCCCTTGGTTCTAAGGTGACACCATCTCTTTTTTTCCAAGACCTCACTTTTTACATCTTCCATTGGGTTCTACTTTTCCTTTATGATAAGAATTAGGAGCACAATATTTTTTCTTCTTAACCAATTCTTGAAAATCTGTGCTCTAATGAAAATTATACCCTCATCTATTATCTGCCAATTCATTCACCTATCCATCCTTAATCCACCCCTCAATGCTGGCTGAGGGCCCTTTTGGCTCTAAACTCTACACTGTGATATTAGAAATAAAGCATAGGCCATGCTCTCTGCCCTTGAAGTCCTTGTTGAAGAGGATTCTTGATCTCAGGCTACAGTAGAACATCACCCTCCCTTAATCTCCAAAAGCCTTCTTAGCTTATACTACCTTCCAGGAGTCCAATGACCTCAACTCATGTTGTTCATGTTCTCTGTTTTTTTGTTTTTTTGTTTTTTTTTTTTTGCACAAGCTGGTATATTTTCTGCCATTGTATTTTTGTAGTGCTAAGTGACTCTGAACAATCGTCAGATCCTTTATGTCAAATCATATATTAGCTTTAGCGTGTTTTTGTATCAATGGTTTTCTTCTTAAACATAATATCTCAGTTAAAACAATGGAGCATAAAGTTAAGTTGCCAAAAGAATACAGGGACATACATATTTTGTTATATCCAATATTGTGGACCTGCACGTTGTTGAATATTTGGTAGGGACATGATAAATCTTCCTTGAATAAATATCATGATGATTCACAACTACAGATTACTTAAATGAGCTTAACCATGTTCATAAGTACAAGTTGAAACATAAAATAGAGATTTTCACATTGTATATTAATAAATCAAAACTATGGTGAAAGATTCCTTAGATCAGGAGGACTTTAAGGGCTTTGCAATCTTGAGAATTTATGATTCCAGGAAAATGGGGCAGGAAAACATGGAAATCAGAAGGAGGAGAGTTTTGACCTTGCATGGGTTATCGGGGCAGGTTTTGCATGGGTGGATGTAGGTGCCATGTTGAATCCCCATGTAAGGTGTACTTGAGCCTATTCCTCAAAGAAAGGGTAGAGGTCCATACTCCTTACTGCTCTAACGAGCTGTGCTAGTGACCAGTCTACTCAGCACAGGATTGTGAGCCTGACAGCCCCTGCCCAGACTTTCTGTATGAAGTGTCCTCCTCAGGAAATCTTGGAGGATGCTTCCTTTGCTTTGAAAGGCAGACCAATGACCTCTAAATTCCCCTCCACTTTTATGCTTTATTGTTTTATGACGCTATAACTAAGCTAACCCGACACAGAGTGAGGCTGTTACTTTATAATTTGCCATAAATACTTTCATGATAACCTCCGTATGTTAAAGAACACTTAAAGCCTTTTAAAATCCAAATACATATTCTATCGGAAATCACAAGGTTGTAAGGTATCTTGTACTTTTATAAACTTAAAAAGGGAAAAAAAGATGTTAGATGTTGCACGGTATAGTTCTCTTTTTAAAATCATTATTATAAAGTCTCTTCAAGAAAACTCAACATGACATTTCAAGTCAGAGCCCTTTGTCCCCTTCATGGTGGTTCCTCCAGTCCTATTCTGATGACAGGGAGCCAGCAGACCCAGCCCTGGATCGCACACTTACTGAGAAAGCCAAGGGAGGGCTTCCGTGGGAAAGGAGTGTGAATAAAGGTGCAGGCAGGTCTATCAACTTCTACAGCTGTGGGAATGGTGGAGACTGGCTCTCTCACAGAGGAAGCCATTGATGCCAGAGATGGGCAGAGTGGGTCTCCATGACGCTGCTGGCATTCAGTCTCTCGACGTGATCCCATACCCTGAGGACACCTGTCATGAGCGGACCTGGTGTTATACAAAAAGTTCTATCAAATTTACCACTCACTATTCATCCGCATCAACAGCTGCAATACACTTCCTGTTGTCTCGAAACAAAATAACCTATAATTTCAGAAAGAAATTGGCTGTGCTGGAAGCATTGATCTTCCCTATGTGCCTGATGATGTATTTATAAGAGAAAGACATGTTTCTGTGTCTTATTTATTTCCTGACCTGGATGGAAACCACCGGGGAAAGTGCTACTTATGGTGTATTTGGTGGATGACTAAAATCCTGTGGAATGTCTGAGGCTAAAAAGTGAAGAATAAGTTTCATAGTTATATTTGTCAGGATTACTCATAATTCTTTGCTGCTGAGTTTTTCAGAGCCTTTAGGGTAATAACCATAGGTCTTTTCAAGAAACATGAGAGACTTATCCAGTGTTCTTTGATGGTGGATCTCATGGGACTAGTGTTCAACAGAATCTGCACTGAAAAATTCTAACTTTGAGATTTCTGTTTTAGAAAAAGGCAAAGAAAAAAATCACTGAAACTCACTGAGATGTGACA